AGGGGAAACTTTCTGTCCCATCATGTTGAAGTATACAGAAAGAAGGGGGATGTAGATAGTGGGTAATGACAAGTGAGAAAGAAATGGGAGTTAGTAGATAAAAACCTGGCTGCTTTTAGGAACATGTATTGCGTGAGGATCCAAGACAATGAGGAGGTGCTCCTTAGAGATTCATGGCTGTCATGGCTGTGGTCAATAGTGACCATGGCAGTGTTGAGGGTGTGACAGGAGGGCACGAAAGCATGATTCTGGGCACCCCTCTCTCCCTCTGTGCTGGTCCTGGCAGGATCCTTTAAGGCATTCATGACCCACTGCATTCCCTCCCTCCCTGCCTCTCTCCTAACTAACTTCCTCCCTCCCTCCCTCCCCTTCCTTCCTGCCATCCACCCATCCATCCATCTTTGCTTCCTTCCTCTCTTCCTTCCTCCTTTTCTCCCTCCATCTACCCTCCTTCCCTCCCTCCCTCCCTTCCTTCCCTTCCTTCCTTCCATCCAGCCATCCATTCATCCAGCCAGCCATCCATCTTTGCTTCCTTCCTTCCTCTCTTCTTCCTCCCTTTCTTCCTTCCTTTTTTCCTTTCATCTATCCTTCCTCCCTTCCTTCCTTCCTTCCTTCCTTCCTTCCTTCTTTCCTTCCTTCCTTCCTTCCCTCCTGCCTTCCTTCCTTCTTCCCTCCCTCCCTTCCTTCCAGAAATTCACCAAGGGGATAAATCCACTAATAACACTTATGAAGCCTGTTATACCAAAGTCTTACCTTTCAGTTGTTTTGGCAGAGAGTAGAAGGAGCAAAGGTTAGACCTTTATCCTTTCAGAATTTTCGAAAATTCCACAGCTGATAGAATTTTTAATCCTATAAGCTAAACTGATTAAGATTTTCCTTGACCCTCTGCTACTTCCTGGTAATAGCTCTGACCCTCTAAAGGAAGTCTTCATCATTTCCTGCTGTAGTGAACTCACTTGTGGCTGAGAAACCTGCATTAGCCCTTTCAGGCCAAGGAGGCCTTCCTTTACAAATGGTGTTTCTTGGGAATTAGAAGTACTGACAAAACTTTAATACTACCTGTGCTGTAAACTTTAAAATGCCAGTTGCCTTCCTAACCATACCACTTCCTCAGTATCACAGAACAAAGACACTTCCTCATATATATTTAAGTCTTTCTCTGTCAAAATAAACAGGAAGCCTAGCTACTTACCCATTGAAGGCATGGCAAAGTTTTGAATTCACAGTAAAGACATCAAGTCCTAAGTCATGAAAAAGGAGAGACCGACTTAATACTGAAATTCAAGAAACATGGTTACTTCAGGAGTCTACTTACAGATTTATGGCTTAAAATTTATATTTATTTTCCTTCCACAAATAGCAATTTAACACTGTTTCAAAACTAGACAGTGGAGAATATTCCTGTGAGGCCCGTAATTCTGTTGGACATCGCAGGTGTCCCGGGAAACGAATGCAAGTCGGTAAGCATGAAATATTGGGAGGAACAATGGTTTGCAGTCAGAGCGCGCATGTACTTGGGGATGGGAAGGAGCAAGGGGTAGGATTGTGCCTGAGTGATTGGAAGAATAAACCAGAGGGAATGTTTAAAATTAGCTTGACATAATGTGTTGCAAAAAGCAAACATGCTGTTCTTAGTCCATGTCCCAAACAAGCCAAGAATATTTAGCACTCTACTTTTCAAGTTTTTGAATTTTTCAAATCATTGTTTTAAAAATATGCTTGTCTGGGCAATCTTTCAAACAGAAACTAAGAGTCTTACAAATTGCTCTGGGTCAAGGATTTGGTATGGGGTTCAATTTCCAGCTCTGTCACTTACTAGCTACATATTCTTGGGCCAGTTATTTAACCTCAGTCTCCCCAAAATAGAAGTAGTAATATGCTATCTTCATTGGGTTATGGCTCAATCAGTAGAGCATGTGACTCAATCTCGGGAGTCGTGAGTTCAAGTCCCACGTTGGGAGTAGAGCTTACCTAACAAAAAGAAAAAATAATTTAAAAAAAAAAGAAAGAAAGACAAAATTGATATTTGGAAGGGTTAGAATAGCAATGGCATATTGTGAGCACTCTCAAGAGTTGGCTATTTTAGTGTTTGGTAATTTTTTCAATCCCCTAAAAGACAGTGCTTTGCCTATCCCAGAGTGGGCTCTCAAAAAAGACATGTCGAATGTAGTTATGAATCTCTATTTGCTATAAAACATAGCTGCCATGTATTTCACAAAATAAGCTTCCTAGAAGTCAATAAAATCAGACTCAGGAATCTTTTCAGATTATATGAGTTTCAGAGCAAACATGTTTTTTTCATTTCGTTTTTAATAATTTGGTTCAGTTCTCCCTTTGTGAAAGTGCTGTGTTTTGAAAAAGGGTGTTTTGTAATAGGGCTAGCTGGAGATGACAGCTGCGGGGTTAAAGATCACTCAGGAGAGCTGCACCCCGAAGTGGAACACCCATGGCCCCCCTTGGTTCAGGAGCTTGTCCTCATCTTTGTGAGGTCAGAAATTCATGTTTTCAGTGTGCTCAGAGATATGCAGATCTGTGCACACTAATTTGTGTTGTTCATGTACAGTTAAACTCTGGGCATTACTTTTTAAGTAAAATATAATCTTATTAGACCTCAGAATGCTCTAAAGTATAAGATATTCAGTAGTGTATTCTAATTTCCACAAGTGTCTTTTTAAAATTCAGGGATACATATTATCCACCCAATTCACTCAAGTGTTGATAGTTATAGTCAAACATAAGCGTTTGCTGAAAATATCAGAAGGTATCCCTCTTAGTGCTACTTTGGAGTTATCATTAGAAAAATTCATCAGAACATGTTTAAAATTAATGCATTGATACAGGGTTTTCCTAACTTCATTCATTCATTCACATACGACGCTCATGTTTTTTTACTGTAACCTTGTACCACCTGCACTATTTATTCTTTCTTTAAATGGTCCTGTTTAATTTCAATGCCTAATTTAGCCTCATCTCAAGAAATAATATCTGTGATGTCATGGTCTTAACATACTAGTTACATTTTTTCCAAGCATGCAGTAAATAAATACAGAACAGCTAAAAAAAAATTTTTTTTTTTAAAGATTTTATTTATTTATTTGACAGAGAGAGACACAGCGAGAGAGGGAACGCAAGCAGGGGGAGGGGGAGAGGGAGAAGCAGGCTTCCCGCGGAGCAGGGAGCCCGATGCGGGGCTCAATCCCAGGACCCTGAGATCATGACCTGAGCCGAAGGCAGACGCTCAACGACTGAGCCACCCAGGCGCCCCCAGAACAGCTAAAATTTAATACTTTGTGCTTTGCTAGTCTTACCACTTTAATTTGATCATGATTTTCACATATCTACTCTTTCTCGTATTTTGGCTTAAAAGTTAAAATTCATTCATTTAATGCTCATCCATTGATCTTAGATGTTTCATGCCCTTGGGTTGAAATTTATATCTTTTGATACATAAGAATTTGTGAAATCACATGTCAAGTCTCCTTCGTGAGTTATCACTAATAACTTATAACCCAAACCAGAATCTGTTCTAAAGAAGCTCTTTTTGAAGTATAGAAAGAAAGTAAGTCATGGACCTGATGATTATTCCCAAGCTGCCCCCTGTAAAACTCCCAGGAGACCCCACTCACACTTAGCATTTTAACAGTTTGGTTCCTTTCCTTTCAGTTAGAATAATGATACCTTCCTTTTATAGTGGCCTTTTTTTTTTAAAGAAAAAAAATATTTTTGTACATGTTGTTACCTTTTCTCTTTAGTGAGGCATAAGGCGGTTATAGAACTTGCTCAGTAACTCACAGTCAATGGCAAATAGCATGAAAACAACTCAGCTCTAACTTACAAGGCTTCTTCCATTTCACTGAGAAAAGTAAAATAAAATGTATACCATAACTTACAGGATAGGACAGTTTTTTTGTTAGAATCTGCCGTTAGGTTGAATCCTTCATAGATGTCAAGTTCATTGACAAACTATGGGACAGATTTTTGTCCGATAATAGCCCTAAGATTGAATCCTTCATAGATGTCACATTTGTTGACTACTACAAAGAAAATAGTAGGTACAGTTTGGTTCTGTAGTTATTAACTTAATTTTGCCTTAGATTATGATTATTTTAGATTTTTCCCTATTAATTTCATTTTGCCTTAGATTATGAATATTATGGAATTTTTTTCCCTGTCCACTGCTTTTTTAAGTAAATAAATAGCTGGATCTCAATGACCTCTCAATGCTTAAGCAAAAATGAACTGAATTTTTTGTTGTTGTTTGTTTGTTTTTAAGATTTTTTTTTTTTTAAAAAGATTTTATTTATTTATTTGAGACAGAGAGCATGAGAGGGAGGAGGGTCAGAGGGAGAAG